ATATATATATATATATATATATACACCGTGCATGAACATCCTTCTACATAAATCTTGTCTATATCCCTGGGTATCTCCTGGCTTAGATTTCTGGAAGTGAATCAGAGCACGTGAACTATTACTGAAGCTGTTGCTTTTTGCTGCCCAGCTGCTCATTAGAAAAATTTGCAGTGATCTGACCACCCCCTCTTCACACAGCGAATGGCACGCTTTACTTGAGCCTCACAGCATTGCATAGTATCGGGAAAACTGTTTTTCCCCCCAATTAAGTCTATTTATTTTGACTACATTTTTAAGGAATGGGACAGAATTTCAGAATTTTCAAATTACAACTTCAGAATGTTAAGGGGTGGGGCAGAATTTCCTTTTAGCCCATTTTCTGAACATAATTTTGTATCGGGATATGCACATGAGATATGCTCATTACAAAAACTATATCGAATAGAAGTAATGGAAATAAAGACAAAAGCAATTACGATTAAAAATTCACCCTAGGAGAAGTAATTCTGGTCAGCCTTGGGCAGAGACTTTTACCTCACACCTTCCTGTCTATACATGCATTCATAATAAAACCAAGTTCTACTCTCTGTTGAACTCTAAAATGTGCTAGTACAAATCTCAGCAATTTTTCATGGGACTCCTCGTCAATCAGGTTTATCCTTGTATCAGGTGACCATAATTTACTTACACGTGTCTTTTTGGGGGGACACTTTTATTGCATTTTCACTGCTGTACCCACGATGTGATGAGATCCCTTACGTGTTGAATTTTGTTAGCCTTTCCAGGTGTTTCTTCCTGATGAATTCTTACCCACAGAGCTGTTGAGTCAACAAATAGGTGCAGATCAGCAGAAAGTCTGGGCCAGTTTAAACATTGTGCACTTTGTGCGGGGACTTCATTTTCCCCCAACCTCATCACCACATACTAGTACTGATCCTTTTAACCTTTTACAAGCTGGGAGAGGAGAAATAGGTCGTTGGTGTTATTTTACAAGAAGAAGCAGTGATGATTAACTTATGTTAGTATGTTGATCATTCATTGGTGTTTTCGTTTTCACACATTTTCCATTGGCAGTGTTCGTTCATTTATTGTATGTAGAGATGCTATTTTGTATATGATTGATTGTACAGTAAGGGCATTAACGCGTGTCAACTCCACACGGCACATAGATGTACACGAACACATACGTACATTCATTTCAGCGTTTGCATTTCACATATTCGTAGGGTTTTTGTTTTTTTTAACATCTTTGAAAATGTTTTGCTTCCTGAAGTTAAAAATGTCTGTACAGTCAGTCAAATATTTGTCTTATTTGTCCTGGATTCGATATCTCAACTCCCAAGTAACGAGGCCTTCTGCATATTCAAACCAGCTCAAGTTTTCTTAAAAATGGAAAAGGGATGCACTTTGTAAGGGTACATGGTTATATCACAGTTCCCAAGGGGAGGGGGACAATGAGAACTCAGGACGTCACCCCAAACTCGCAATTTCCATTTTCTCTGCTCCTTTCTACATATATTCCACTCTTCTGGGTTTATTTTTTCTATATTAAGTGTCGTTTTTTGCCATTATCAGATTTCTGTCCTTAGACTTACTTTGCTTTCCTCTTCCTAATTTTTTTAAAAATAAATGTTTCATTTCCTTAATTATTTTGTTACTGGATTAATCATGAAAGTATTTAATACTGAGTTTTCCTTTCAGTGTAGGACTTTGGCCAGGTCCCATAGGTTTTAGGTAGAGTCTTTTGCAAACTGACATGTAACATTTTGAAATTGCAATTTTTGTTTCTTCCTTAATGAGGAATAAGTTTGTAAAATAATGATATGATAGTAGAGTTTCTATTTTTTGTTATTTACTTTTGCTTTTCTATAATTTTGATAAAAGAATGTAGTCTTGCGATGTTTACTCTTTGCATTTTATTGGTATTTTCTGTGTCAATTTATAAGCCATTTATATAAACCTTTGTAGCATTTCATGTCACTTGACGCTATTCCATTTTATGGATTTACCATCATTTATTTTTTAGGTTTATTTATCTGTTTTGAAAGAGAGAGAGAGAGGGCATGAAAGCAGGGGAGGTGAAGAGAGAGAGGGAGACAGAATCCCAAGCAGACTCCACACTCAGCACAGACCCCGACACAGGACTCGATCTCACGACCGTGAGACCATGACGTAAACCAATATCAAGAGTCAGACGCCCCTACCGTCATTCATTTAACAATGTCCTGTTTTGGACATTTGGACAACAACGTATGGGAGAGCTCTCGTTCCTGTAGTGCTGGGAAAGGCTGGCTATTACGTTTTTAAATTCTGGACGTTGTTATCGGTAATACAGGTAATTGTTATATAACAATTCTGTGATCTACCTCTCTGTGATCACTATAGTTTTACCTTTCCTAGAATTTCATAGAAATGATATATATAGTATGTAATCTTTTGTATACGGTTTGCTTTGAGATTCATCTGAATGTCCCCAAATTTGTTAATCCATTCAGCCATTGGACTCTTGGGTAGATTCAAGTTATTGACTACTATGAACAAAGCTACTAGGAGCATTTGGGTACAAGTCTTTGTGCGGATATTTTCTTTCCTTTCTCTTGCATAGATTCATGGGAGAGAAACTGCTGGGACATATGGTAAATATATTTAACTTTAGAAGAAGCTGACGGGATGTTTTCCGGAGGGGCTGTGCTAACGTGCATTCCCACGAGCTCTGAGTGTGGGGTTCCAGTGGCTCCATATCCTCTCCAACACTTGCTATTATCAGTCCCTTAAAATCTGGCATTATAATGAGTGCTTAGTAGTGTCTCACGATGGTTTCGAGTTGCATTTCGCTAACATGATTATTATGGAGCATCTTTTTATGTGCTCACTCACCTTCTGTATACCTTCTCTGGTGAAATATCCATTTCAATCTTTTGCGCATTTTCTTACCATGGTTTGTCTTCTTCCTGTTGAACTCTGTGAGTTCTTTCTATTGTGTTTTCTGCATGTAAATCCTTCATTAGATACATGCTTTGTTACTATTCTCTTCCAGTGTCTGGTTTGTCTTTTCAATTTCTTAACAGTGTTTTTCAAAGAGAATTTTTAAAAAAATTTTGGTGAAGTCATGTGTACCAATCTTTTTATTTTATGAATTGTGATTCAAATGGGATATGTAAGAAATCTTTGTCTAACCCGAGATTGTAAAGGTTCTTTTTCTCCTATGTTTTCTTTTAGAAGTTTTATAATTTTAGTTTTTATGTTTATGGTTATCGCATATCTTGCATTACTTTCCGTATAGAGTATGAGGTAAGGTCTGCAGCTCATCCTTACTCATGTGGTTATGCAACTG